CCCTCAAACCACATGTCCAATCCATCAGGAAATTCTGTCAACAACAGCTTCAAAATAGATCTGGAATCCAACTACTTCTCACCACCTCTACCCTTACCGCTCTGGTCCAACCCACTATCATCTGTTGCTTGATTACTGCAAGGGCTTTCAACTGGCTTTCCGTTTCCACTCTAACCTCCTATAGTCTATTTACAACACGGTAGCCAGAGCAATCGTGTTAAAACATGCCGGGTCACTTCTCATCTTAAAATCCCCAAGCCCCCCATGCCTATCTCACTCAAGATAAAAAACCAAAGCTCTCCTGACGGATGACAAGGTCCTCTAAAGTCTTCTGCCTTCTTCCTCTCCTCACCTACTACTTTACTGAGACTCAAAAAGCATCCCCCAAAAGTATGACATGTGGCATGTTGAGTACTTGGACCTGAAGGACACCAGAGGGCCTTAGAAGCCTCAAGCCCAAGGTCTCTCTGATCTTTCTTATCCTTCTTTCGCACCTCTGAGAACTACCAGGGTTCCTCTTCTGCAAAGCAGATCCTAGAAGTTGGAGCCCTTTCCCAAAGCAAGTTATAAAAACTCAAGGCATCATCCTAATTTGCCATCTAGCCTTTCTAGTCACAGCAGCTGATAGAATTCTATGTTCTAGCCATAGTTCCATGAATGAAGATCTCTTTTCAAATCACATCTTAGACACCGATCAGACTCCTACCAAGTCTGTCCCCCTCTAAAGTTTATACAAATAACAAAGAACAAGACAAGTAAGCTGGCCTCAGAGTTCTTCAACCTTTACAGAGAGTTCTTCAACCTTTCCAAGTCAGGCCTAAGAGCAGGGACCAGTCAGTGTGGTAGGACGAAAAGCAGAAATACAACCTCACTGAAGTCAAAGAAGAGAGGAAATCACCAACTAAGAGGAAGTCTGGAAGTCAGAGACAATGATTAGAAACCAGAGAGGTTACCCTGTCTGGGAAAATGAAAGAAGACAGTGATCTTTACAGGCACATTTCACAGCGTCTATATTTGTTTGTTTATTTAATGGGGGCGGGGTATAAAATGCCTGGGCAGGAGGTTCTCCACCACACACATGTCGAAGTCACAAGACAACTTTCAGGAATTGTTCCCTCCTTGCACCATAAATTCCTGGGACTGAACCCAGGTCATCGGGCTTGCAGAGCAAGCCCCTTTCCCAGCAGCGTCAACTCATCATCTCAAAAAGGAGTGGCACAAACAGAAATGGGGTATGTACTTAGTGCCACTAATACCCTTTTCACTGAAGTTGTATCCAGGCCATTCCTTCCATTCCCATGGCTTCAAATATTTGAATGAGTTCCGTAATCCACGTCTAGCCTTTATCTCTTTCTAGAGAGCAAATTAAAATGGAATTTAGACTTCCCACTATACATCCAGATCTACGTACCCTTTAGGCACTCTTAACGAAAACCAAAACTCACTCCCAATCTTACGGATAACAAACACGTGCTGCTGCTTCTTGTGTTTCCTGTTTTAATAAGTGCCCCACTGACCAAACTATCACCTAAAACTACAAATCCCTGAGCATGGAGGCATTCAAGAGGCAGTGGCAGGAGGACCAGAAGTTCAAGGTCACTTTGACTATAGGGCTATAGTTAACAGGTCAGTCTGGATTACATGAGAACCTGTCTCACAAACAAGCAAACTAAACCAAAAATACACAAAACTACAAATCTTGTAACATCCTCATCTGGCCTCTCTCCTTCTGTCCATGAGATATGCTGGTGTCTTAAGCATCCTGTTTGTATGGAATCTGCTTGTTAGACAGTTCTTTAGTACTTACACTGTATTATTTTATAATAAAGTATTTATTCTTTTTGCCAGAAATGTAATTGCATCAATATATGTATTATACCTAGACATGCTAGGTGCTTCATAAGTATTGATCCACTGAAGTAGCTCAAATGGATCTGTATTAATTATCCAGATTTATGTTTATGAAATTAACTTGTTTTACCTTAATAACCAAGACTGTGTTTAAAAAATAAAACAAACAAACAAAAAAAGCCTAAATAATTTGGAGATGGGATATCCTGGAGGATAACAACTTCAAACACAAAGATTCCCAAATGAAAACGTCCACTCTGATTAGGTATCCTCTGGGAACCTGAGGTAATAAATACTGTGGAAACTTGGCCACCACAATGGAATTATTCCAACTCTGACTTCCTATGGCCCGTTCTTGTCCACTCAGCCTTCTTGGAAGACATGGTTCCCCTTCCTAAAATTTTACACTGTCCAAACCTGTAACTCCCAACGAAAGAATACTGGCACTTCTAAGGCAGATAAAATGCCTGATAGATAAAAGTTTTTACTTCCAGAGGCACAGACCCAGTGAGATATTCATCTCGAGCAAGAACACATAAGCCATTGCCGGATAAACGCAGGGAAGGACAAGACCGCATAGGCCCCTTCCACACTGCTCCATTTCTATGAGACCCAGGAACACAGTCTTGACCTTGATAACCTCCGTAGCGCCTTGCCAGCAGAAGGCAGAGAAGTTCTCAGAAGTATTTTGGCCCCCAAACATTTTTGAATCAAGTTAGGAAAAGTTATGAAACTCACAGTTGTCATCCTTGACTTGTGTCCAGAAGCACAATTCAAATGAAGCATGGAGTCTAAATGGTTGATGGTTTTCAGCTGGGTGTACTTTCCAGCCACAAAAATGAAAAAGCTCTAATTTCACCCCAATAAAAAAAATGTAACCTGGCAAGAAACAAAATAAATATGTATATATACTTTTGTGACAAAATGATAAGACAGAGAGGTAACAAAAAAACAAACCAAAAAACAGCAGAATGTCTTTATATTGTTGCATTTTTAACAGTGATTTTACACATGAAAAACTGTTTAGTAGGCTGAAATATGAGAAGAATTGACATCAGCATACCTGATAAATCAAACACCCAGGAGTGAACCATCTTTGCCCTACCTCCTACAACAGTTTGACCTCAGCTGGGTCAACTTCTCAAGAAGTACAGTGGGTAGCTTCTACTCAAGTTTTAGAATCTCAAAAGGCTGGCGTGAGTGTCCCACAAAATATAGGGTGTCCCCAGTCTTTCCCTACTGGCAGGTGGAAATGACACGGAGATATCACTTGAGATACTAGAAATACATCTTTTAAAAAAATATGAATTTACTTTTCTTTTGCCCACATGACAGCATCATTATCATTTCTCAAGGCCTAAAGTTTCTAACCCTTACAGACTCACCCACATTCTGCACTTTCATGTCTAGTTCACGTTATTAATGAACTACATTATATTATATACCTACTACATTATATTATATACCTACTACATTATAGTCCAGCCAAAATGTTGTGAAATGCCTCCCGCCACCCCCGACTCATCTTGTGTTCACTCTACATCATTCTTTACTCAGAGTTGTGGTAGGAGTAAACCAATATATAAAACTAATCATGGCTGGTCTCAAGCAAACTGAATTGACCAGTTAAATACAACCCCAAATGGAGCTTATGTGAGGCTCAATCAATCCCAGTACTCAAAGAAGAGGGAGGGGGTATAAGAAAGGTGTTATATAAGTACAGGTCTACAATTCCAGGTTTGGTGGAGACAGGAGGACCAAGAGTTCAAGGCCATCCTCAGCTACATGGACTGTTCCAGGACAATCTGGACTCCAAGACAACCAATCCTGGCCCCACCCTCTTCTGGCCTGACTTGGGGGGAGGTAAATGCTCCTTTAGTCAACTATTTCTATTCCAATGCTTAATTCTCACAGGTGTTTCAAAAGATCTGAAGAAGATATTCCTGGTCTTCAACGCTGAAAAATATCTTGTAAGAATAGGAGCAAAGAGTATCATCAAAAATATAATTATAAAAATAATAAAATTAATCTGAAACACAAAATATTCTTTGAAAGGAAAACTAAATACCATTAATTGTCCAAATCTTGCGCGCGCACGCGCACGCGCACACACACACACGTACTATACCCCTCCATGTAAGAAAAATCACCTATATAACTGGCGTGGTCCTCTTAAAAACTCAAGCTACTTGTAGTCAATATTTACTTGAGTAGCAATACTCAATATAGGGCCATATTTAACATCAGGAAACTAAAATTCTATGTTTGGACAGCCATAAATGGAAATATGAAAAACAAATGAGACCAACTTTTATTCATCAGGAATATCAACAGCTATGGCTTAGCAGCTAAGAGCATTTGATTTATAACAAACAGTCCTTTTGTGGAAAAACAGCATGTTCCGCCATTTTTTTAAAAATGAAGCTTCCTCATTGGGCAGGAGAATGTGGCCATAGCTAAGCGAAGAATGCAGGCAAATCCTAGAAATCTTCTGGGCTTGATCACCAGCTCATAACTCATTTGCTAAGCCACCTCTGCTAAAACTCCTGAGTTCCTTGAGCCTCACCTCATCTCAATAACAAGAATAATAATATAGTTACTGGAAGGACTAAATGATTCATAATGTAATTAAAACATTATTCAAACAAAATTCAGCATGCTTGAAATAGCGCTGCATCAATAACTAGTGCTATTTATCATTGCTATTGCTATTTTATTACGCCATGCCACTAACTACACTCTCTTCATGGTAGAGATAACAGAAAACTTGTAGTTGTTCTTCAGATTCTGGAATTTACACAGTTGACGCTGCTTCATTTCTCTACATATGGACCTGCTCATACAGCTACAGTAGAAGTTATAGGTTATCGAACACAATTCTTAACCATAGTTATGCTGGAGTATTTTGTGATTTACAGAACCTCCTTCAAATGGGGATTGGATAAAGGTCATTAAAATGATCGGTCCTGCTGTATTTTAATTGCTAGGACTATATAGAACTGGAGACTAAATCAGTGTCTCCATACTGATCCCCAAGCAGGAGAACACCTGTTCCAGGTGGTGGTCTACTTTTCGCAGGAAACATATCCGCTCACTTTAAGGTTTTCATGACGTTTAAGAGCTTTGCTCCCTTTCATACTGGTAGAGTTGTTCGCTCTCTGCTGTTTTCTTTCTTTCTTTCGGTTAAGGCACACTCTACTGAAAATGTAGTAGCACTGCCCAAGTTGTTTGAACATCTTTCAGCAGTGAGAACAAAACATTATTTGGAGGCAGAGCCTAACAACCCCTGAGAGAGGCAGAGAGCTCTGAGATTATGAAGCTGCTCCCTCCACATCCCCACCAGATACATGTTACTTTCCCCTTATTGCTCAAATTAAGGATGTTCTAGGTCACAGAACGCTTTATATTTTCACATGATCTAAATAGCACCCGCCCCCCTTATAAAGGGAAAACTTGGCAGATTTTGAGTGTGTGATTCATTGTAATTTTACAAAAGAGCACATACTACTCAGCTCTGCCTAAGCTAAAACACACACAGGAGTCCTCTCTTATCTGCAGACAGTAAGTTATAAGACTTCCAGTAGATGCCTGCACTGTGAATAACAGTGAACCCCCACATGTACTACGCTCTTTGGACACACACTTATGATTAAGTCTAATTTATAGAGGAGACACAGAAAAGATACTAACAATAACATCATAAAACAGGAAAACCATAAGAGTACACTATAATAAATTGGCACCTTCACACCATTAAGTAAAATAGGGTGATTTGAGCGAAAGCATTACATCATTAGGACACTTAGTCTGATAACCTAGTAGCTTCTAAGTGGCCAACAGGTGGGTGCCATATATAGTACCAAGTCTACCCAACAAAATAATGACTCACATCCTGAGAGGGGCAAAGTAGGATGGCACAGGGTTTTCATTACAACTTCCCCGGATGGCATGCAGTTTAATATCTACGCAGTGTCCATTCTGGTGGTCCCCATTTAGTATTTTCAAAGGCCCTTGAAAACAGGTAACTGAAAACACAGAAAATAAAACTGGAGGTAATGGGAAAACAGTATTTTTAAAAAGGAGCCCTCTGTACTTGGATGGATTGTTGCTCAACGTAAAAATCATTTAAAATATTTAAACTTAAACCTTGTTAAGTGAAGAGACATTTTCATAACCCACTTTCAAAAGAAGTCTTTGGTAGTAACAACTCAAACAGGTCAAAAAAATTAAGTTATCTCAAAGCACATTTTTTTACATTATACTTTCTAACAAAGTAAACAATAATCAAATGCTGAAGTTCTCCAGTTTGAATTATAGAGAAAAAGTAGCTAAAGAGCTTTTCCAATGGTCACCAAGTTCCACTCTTAACAGAGATCAACAAGATGAATGTAAAACTGATAAGCACAGGGCTGGGCCCCCTCCCCTTTTTCTTCTTCAGTAGATGATAGCTCTAGAAGAGCTTCTTTTTTTTTTTTTTTTTAATTCCCTTTTTTAATTCTAGAAAAGAGAAAGGAAGCTGGGCAGGAGGGTTGTATGCCTTTAATCCCGGCACTCAGGGGGCAGAAGCAGGCAGATCTCAAATTAGAGGTTAGCCGGGTCTACAGAGCGAGTTTCAGGATAGCCAGGGCTACACAAAGAAACCCTGTCTTGAAAAACCAAGAGGAAAAAAAAAATGGAAAGGAAACAAAATTGAAAATGATCAAGTCTGGGTCTCCTTCCACCCTACTCCCCAATAGCTGATCCTAGGGTGTACCTCAAAGAGTGACAAAAAAAATAATTAAATAAAAATAAAAACAAAAACAAAAGCCAAGGGCAGGACATTAAAAAGGCCCCGTGTGGGTTGTCCAACTCCTGCTCCTCTGGGTTGGTGTGCTCAGTCAGGGCAGGTCCTCCCACCCCACCTTTGGCTCCTTTTCAAAGACCCAGTGTGAAAATGTGCTGACAGAAGCTTCGGGAATTGCAAGCATGAGACAAAAGCGAAAGGAGAGGAAATACGAGTCAGGCAATTCATTGAAGAAAGCAGCATGAACTTGTCGAGATGTTCTCCAGGTAATGAGAAACATCTCTCGAATGCCAAGGAAAGTAGGCTAAATGACTGTTCTTTTAACACGCCTCTCGGGTACATGTCTCAAGGCTGGTGTCACAGAAGAGCAGGAGGGGCCACCCCTCCTTCATGATCACACTAGCTCCGAACATAATTAAAACTAATCCTTTTACCTGCCTACATTTCTTACAAGCAGCCTGTCTAGTGCATACATTAAAAAGGTCTGGATGCTTTGCACCAACAAGATTCAATCAGTACCTTCACATCGGGGTGGGGGGGTGGAGGGGGATACAAGTCCAAACAACATCAGCTCATTCACTTCTCTAAAACATTCAGCAATTTTAAAAGGCTTAGGAAACATGGAGCATAATGGTGTATCAAAATGACAAGCCTTCATCAGACACACACAACAGCCAAATTTGCTTACCTGGAGCTTTGAGAGGCAGCCAAGACATGCAAATGCCACAGAAGGAAAGCGTATGCCATGACTTGCATTAAGAACAGGCTTAGAAACGAGTGTTTGCAAACCAACTGAGGTACTCGTTACCACACACCAAAGGGTAGAGGGGGGACCAAAAAAAAAAAAAAAAAAAAAAAAAAAAAAAAAAAACCAGAAAACCCTCTCGGAACTGGGCGATACAATTATAACCCAGCTCCAAAAAGGATTACCTGTAACCTGCCCAAGGGTGATGCAGAGGTCAGGGTGACTCTAGCCTCACAAGACACTGTGAAAGTCTTGACTTAGGTGCCAAAGAAAACACATTTCACCTTGGCTCATCTATCGGTGACAAAATTTTCCCTATACAGCCTCATTGATCTCTCTATAATCTATTGC